GCCTGTTTATCCACAGGGTTGACCCACTCCACCCTAGAGGGCTTCAAGGCGGCCATTGCGGCCTACCACGCCCCTCTCGGTGGCCATTCAGTGGGAAGACACCCTCTTCTTACACATTTCCTCTGCGGTGCGCTGAGGCCGAGGCCTCTGGCCAGAGAAGCTTAGGCTAAGTGGTGGATCAGGATGCTATTCCATAGCCTCGAGTCCTCTGATCTCCCCTCTCCTTTGGGGGTCAAGATTCACTCCTCCAGAAGTTGGCCTTCGGGATGGCGAGCCCCGCCTACTTTAGCCACTCCGGGCTCTTTTGTTCTCTCGCCCTAGCTGTGAACAAGCTAGCTCCTCGCCCTAGCTGTGAACAACCTAGCTCCGCCGCACGTGCTTTTATAGCTTCCCGGTCATTACGTCATCCGCCGTGACGTCCCGCTCAGCTATTGGACTGATTTCACATGTGATTCAGAGCGTGGGTCACTGAAGGCGTTCCCCCTAGCGTTCTCGACGCAGCGTCTCGTTCCCTCAAGGAACCAGGGTTACATACGTAACCTGAGACTTTTATCTAGATAAAGAACATGTAGATCTAACAAAAAACTGTGTAAATTTGTGTGTACGATTGTGTCTATGTGTGAATGTTCTCAATCAGAGTCACAATGGTGACAAATCAATGTTTTTTATACCTACAGTGCATGCTTGGTGGATCCAGAGACTGAATATTGCACATTTTACCCACACTTCATTTGGCTTTGAGTTGCCAAATGGCTCCATATAGACAACATGAAAGTTCTCAGTTGTATGTAAGGGGATACTAAGATGTATTACAACTTACCCCACCCCTGTCATCCAGAGTTTAGTTAGCTGTATTAGCATAATGGTTTGAAATTAGCTTTTTAAAAATGCACATTTTGCCTGAGAATCTACAATTTGTTCCTAATGTAAGTTATATGGTTTTATCAGTATAAGTACTAAACAAAATATAGTTTTGGTTAAAAAAAGTGGTTAAATAATGCAGTTATCATAGGACTCCTAGCTTATCCCTTATAGGTGGAATAGGTGTTGTTACAACTTTCCCCATGTTACAACCATACCCGGTCTCCCCTACGTCTGTAATCTTAGGGGCGCAATCAGTTAAAACAATTGCCTTTGATGTATTTCTAAACACAGAAAACCTTAAGTTATGTTAACTTTTTAAACAACATACCAAAACATTTTATTATTTGTGATATGTAAATCTACAATAAAATAATGGATACAGTCCTGTTTTGTCGAGAAGCTAAATGTAATGGGGAAAAAACACTCTAGCAGGTTCACCAACATGCATTAGTGCAATGGTTTTGTAAAAGGTTCAGATTTTATGAGAATCAACATTTTATTTGAAGCCA